TTTTGTCAGAATCCAGAGTTGACATTAACATCTAGTAACAGAGAGGGCACTGTATTCACCATAACTATTCGGCATGTTGGTCAAGTTGACTATGGGGACTATGCCTATGTGCAAGTTTACAATTTGATCTTGAGATATTGTATGACTGCATTAGGTCTTCAGCTGGTGGGGCGAGATTATTATGATCCCGCAGCTAAGGTAATGTTTCACTCGGTGATTGATTTGACCAAACCCAGTGAGCAATGAAAAGTCAGACAGTAGTCAGACCGATATCAGATATCAGAAACGCGTGAATTTCAGGACCACATTTTTATCGATCTGATGCGAAAACCGACAAATTTCTGAAGTCTGACGTCGTTTTGATATCGGTCTGACATTTCATTGCTCACTGGGAAGAACTTTGGCAGTATATTAATCCGTGTCTACATCTAGATTTCAGTACCACAGCATGGGGGGATGGAACTATGGCCTGGCTACAAAACAAGCATTCGACAACATGAATCCAGCATTTTAAATTGTGTTGATGTCACTTGGAAAGTTATGAGGATTGATACAGTTTTAGACGAGTTGAGGAAATTGCATCAGCGGTGGACCACCACCGAAGAATTAGAGGTCTGCGTTAATATTCCTATGGTAGTGTTACCCGATCTGAAATGGATTGTACGCTTTTGGGTTGCGAAGCAGTTGCTTTTGAATCGCTGCGACGCGCGCAGGGTGCATTAAGATCGCTAGGTTTCGCTCAAATATTTTACGAAGGGATTGTCTGAGTTCGCTTCAATTTGCCATAGGTTCGCTCCTGTGCACAAGACGTTCGCGAAGGTTCGCTCGGTTATTTTGCCATAGAGTCGACAGTGTTCGCCTCTGCTCGCCACGTGTTCGCTCTAGGTCGCTCGCGTGTGCGGGCAGCTCGTTAGCTGGCCACCGGAGTGCGACCCTTATAAAACGGATCAATCGATTGATCCTCCGTGCGCGAAAAGCCAACTTTTGAGTCGCTTACTTCTGAACAGGAGCAGCCGCCCAAGGCGAGCGGCGTCGGGAGGGACGAGTTAGCTAAGGGATCGTCCAGAAAGTACGTCCGTTTCTCTCAAAATTATCCTGCAAATAACGGAAACTCGGAGCCTGCAGAACTCGGGGTAGGCCACCCCGCAATACACGCATGTACTGCATGCAAGATTGTGCCTACCCATCAGGCGCCATGAGAGCTTGCATTGCCTTAATTTGGAGGGTTCGTAACGGCGAATGACGGACGTACTTTCCGGATAATCCCTAACCGACCGGAAACGCCCATAAGGGTTGGCTCGGGTTAGTCAGCAAGCGCAATAGCGACAGTCGTAGCGACTCGGTTTAGTAATTCGGAGTCTCGGGATCGAATCCTAACAAAAGCGGATAAAGGCCACCGAGAGCCGGACCATGGGCGAACATTTTCGAGCAGCATGAGGAATGTTTGCTCTGGGTACGTCAGAACTCGCGGAATGACCCCTTTGCGCTCCGTGCCGAATTCAAAGTAAACAAGGAATAGCTCGAACGCTTTCTGTATGCTATCCGAGAACGCTTTCTGTATGCTCAAACGACTCATCCACAACCAAAACACAAACAATTTATTTTAGATCGGGTAGCTATAGTCGGATGATGGACCCTTCTTTTACACCTATTACATTTACAGGCTGCTTTTCGCGATGAGGTAGCTGGCTGTGTTGTTTTGACCAAATATAACAACAAGACGTACAGGGTAGATAGTGTAGACTGGGGGAAGAACCCGGCCTCTACGTTCGATTGGAGGGGCGAGCAGATCTCATTTGCTGAGTATATGAAGAGAAAATACAATATCGGAATAAGGGATATGAAACAACCCCTACTTGTCTCCAAAGCCAGCACCAGGGATAGGCGAGCTGGTATGGCTGAGGAGATATGTCTGATCCCTGAAGTGTGCTACTGCACGGGGTTGACAGACGCAATGAGGTGTGCATTTATTCTTTTAAGTCTTTCCCCATTCTTATTTGCATTGGTCGAATAATTAGTTTCGTTCATACTATTTTCCAGAGCAAACTATCGCCTAATGCAGGAATTGGCTGTCCACACCAGGATGGATCCAGGTAAAAGGATCCAAAAGCTTATGGATTTCAATCAGAAGCTGCTAACAAATCAACAGGTGATGAGCTAATGTCCTTGTTTTTCCTTAATCTTATATGCGTGTAGTCCATCTAATGTTCCATTTCACTTTTCTAGGCTGTGGCAAAGCTTAAAATGTTCGACATGAGTTTGGAAAACAACTTAGTCACAGTAGATGGTCGAGTGGAGGTAGCTGAGCAAATAATATGTGGGGGAAATGGAACAACTAAGAAAACCCATGATTGGACGAGAGATTTGAGGGGAAAACCTCTCCTCACACCCAAAATTTTAGATTATTGGGTGGTTTTGGTTCCTACTCAATTACATGCTGACACCATGTCATTTATCACTGCTGGCCTGCAAGTAGCAGCTTCTGGCATGAATTTTAATATGCATGATCCACAGATGTACGTTCACAAAAGTATACCCACCAAAATGTTTGTTTCACTTGCATCTATAACTCTAACCGTTTTTTCAGTGTTAAAATGCAGTCAGGGAATGCTGGAGAATATTCAAAAGTGTTAGACAAAGTCTTAGACCAGTCACAACCTAAATTAATAATGTGTGTGGTTTTGGGAAATCGGGCGGAGGTTTACTCAGCCATTAAAAAGAAATGCTGTGTTGACCGAGCTGGTAAGTCTCAGGAAGGAAGAATGGCAAGTAGAATATAAAGGTTCTGGATTAGTGGAGGTTTATGTTCTACCTGTTATGGCGGATATTCTTTTTCATTTGCTAGCTGAAGTACATTATTGGCTTACTTTGTTAGCTTTACCTTTTATCATTAATATTTTGTTTTTTGATTTGTAGTTCCCACTCAAGTGATCCAGGCTAAGAACGTAACAAAACCACAAGCAGCTCGGTTGTCTATTGCTTCTAAGGTAGCAATTCAAATGTGCTGCAAGATAGGGGGTGCCCCCTGGACTGTATCCATACCACTATCGGTTAGTTCTTAGAAAATTATCAGAAATGTCTTTCTTGTGATTTTTTTTTTTACTCTTTCCACCTCCTATCGCACATTCCTCTTGCAATCCACTAACGCACGCAGTTGCTTTCTTGTCTGGTATAATTTTGACATTTCTTACACAATCTCTCTATTTAGAGTATTTTTTTCCTTTTGCTTTATTATGACTCAAGATTTGCTGTTTCCAGGACCTCATGGTGGTGGGCTTTGATGTATTCCATGATAATAAAGTAAAGGGCAGGAGTCAAGGTGCTATGGTGGCATCACTGGATCAAGCTATGTCCCGCTACTATAGTACCGTAACAGCCCACAGAACTGGGGAAGAGCTCTCTACCAATCTAGCCGCAAGCGTTGTCTGTAAGTCTCATTGGGGCAATCTATATTTTCTATTCATAGTTTGGTTTACTATTGGAAAGGGTTGCTTAATGTTTGATTGTTTCCGCCCGAGGTGCTTTGAGGAAGTACAGAGAGGTAAATGATGGCCGACTGCCAGGACGCATAATTATTTATCGTGATGGTGTGGGTGAGGGACAGATTCCATACGTAATCACCACCGAATTAAACAATGTAAAGGTTGCTCTTAATAAAGTTTACAATGGCCAAGATGTGAAAATGGCCTATGTCATTGTAACTAAGAGGATTAATACAAGAATCTTCACCAATGAAAGAAGAAATGCTCCACCTGGTTCTGTGGTTGATGATGTGATCACTGACCCAGAGAAGTAAGTACTCTTTTCCCTGCCATCTATTATCTTCCCTTCGTTTCAATAATGCGTTAATTTTTTTCCTCATTAGATATGACTTTTTCCTGGTGTCGCAGAGTGTGGGCCAGGGAACAGTCAGCCCTACCTCATACAATGTGATC